GCGCAGCACCGATCGCTTCGCGCACGCCGCACGCGGGAATGTACCACCACTGTGCCGGCCTAACCTTTCCGGTAAAGGGCGGCAACGGGGGAGCCCATTTCAAAGTCTTACTCGATTGACTCGTGGCATGGAAGTTAGGTACACTCCAAGTAGCAGTAGGAAGACTGATGAGCCGTGGGAATTGCAGCTGGGCCGAAAATATCAACCTCTCTCGTCAATCAATCCCGTCTTGACGTTTCCCCTTTTCCGAAAAGAAAAGAAACCCCGGGAGCTGCGCGAGATGCAACAATGTCCGTCAGAAAAAATGCACCTGCATTCACGCTGGTGCGCCAAGAGATTGGAAGGTAGCTAGCTGGATGGCCTGTTGGCTCTGTTTGTGTATGGAGCGGCAGTTGAGTTTATGGAGAAGAGAACAAATCGGCACTGCCACTGTGGCATCAGCAGGAGAGCAGAGCGCGCGCTCCGCGCTACGACGTACTCTACTCTACTGGCACCCTGGCTTGGCGTTGGCTAGGGACAGGCAGCGCACCGGACCCGATACACGGCGTCGCCCTGGCTCTCCCACCTGCCCTGGCGCTACGTGCTCCGGTGGCCGATCCGTCGTTCTCGATCCCGAGAACCCCACTCCACTCGCCCCTGTTTCCCGTCGAGCACGTACGTGGAGCCCCGCGCGAACCCACGCAGGCCTCGCTTGCGCCCGGTTTTAATTCCCCGTACTGCCGCAACCGGTGTTACTGCAGGCACCAGGTGGCCGTGCCCCGCCCCGACGTGACCTCGCCCGGCCGCAAGAGCGCGCCGGTGACATGCGCCGATGCGCACGCGCACGCAGCACATCGCGTCCGATCGAGCCTTCCCGCGGCGGCCACATGGCGCCGACGCCGCCCCCGCCACCTGCTCCGCGGCACCCCACCGCCACGACACGCGCTCGCCCCTCTGACACCCTGCGCCCACCGCGGTCAACCCCACTCGTCAGCCGGAGCGAATGAGCGACGGCCGACGGTGGCAACTGTACTGGTAGCGAGTCGCGTGTTTAGAGTACTTCGGCTGGCACGCACTCGCGCTACACATCCCACTCTTCTTCCACGGCGGCCACTAGCCACTTGACTTGCCCACCCCTCGACCTCGCCGCGATGACCAGCCAGGCTCCCTGAAGCGCCGGCATTGCGCCACCCGAACATCCCCACCCCACCTCTCGGCTTCCCAGGTGCAATGGCGTCCTCCTCGTCCCATCGCAGGGCCGGCGCTCCGCTCCTCCTGCTGCTCTTCTGCTGCATTTCCACGGTGATCACCGCGCAGTCCCAGTCGCAGCCGCAGACGACGCTGCAGTCCTCGCAGGCCAAGGCGCTCTACCGCGTGTGCCGCCTCCTGGGCTTCCCGCCGGCGCTGGCCGCGCTCGTCAAGTCCCCCGACCCCTGCGCGCTGCGGCCCACGCCGTCGCTCGCCGTGGCCTGCTCGGCCGGCCAGGTCACGGCGCTCTCCGTGCGCGGCGACCGCCGGCCCGACCCGGCGTGGCGCACCGCGCTGCCGTCCAACTTCTCCGCCGACGCGCTCTTCACCACGCTCACCCGCCTCCCGGCGCTCTCCAACCTCTCGCTCGTCGCGCTCGGCCTCTGGGGCCCGCTCCCGGGCGCCAAGCTGCTCCGCCTCGGCGCGCTGCAGGCGCTCGACCTCAGCGCCAACTACCTATACGGCGGCGTGCCCGAGCAGGTGGCGCGCATGTACTCGCTGCAGAGCCTCGTGCTGTCCGGGAACTGGCTCAACGGCACCGTGCCGTCCCTCTCCGGGCTCGCCTTCCTCCACGAGCTCGACCTGGGCCGGAACAGGCTCGACGGCGCGTTCCCGGAGGTGGGGAAGGCGGTGGCGAGCCTCGTCCTCGCCGACAACAACTTCACCGGGAAGATCCCGGCGGAGGTGGCCTCTCTCGGCCAGCTCCGGTTCCTGGACGTGTCACGGAACCGGCTGGAGGGGTGGATCCCCTCCGCCATCTTCGCGCTCCCCGCGCTGCGGCACATCAACCTGTCGCACAACAAGCTCTCCGGGCAGCTGCCGGCGAGCACGGCGTGCGCGGACGCGCTGGAGTTCGTCGACGTCTCCGCCAACCGGCTCATCGGCGCGCGCCCGGCGTGCATGCGGTCCAACTCGTCGGCGCGCACGGTGCTCGACGCGGGCAATTGCTTCCGCGACGCGAAGCTGCAGCGGCCGAGCACCTACTGCAGCCCGGGGGCGCTCGCCGCCCTGCTGCCGCCGCCGCAGGGGAGCGGCGCCGAGCAGGGTGGGGGCAAAGGTGGCGGGGTGGGGATGGTTCTTGGCATTGTGGGCGGCGTCGTGGCAGGCGCGTTGCTTATCGCGGTGGTGATGGTGGTGGTGCTGAGGAGGGTGAGGAAGCAGCACCCCGGGGTGATGGCCTCGCCCAAGTCGCCGTTGATAACGCCGGCGAAGAAGGGGGGCGGTGCAGCGAAGGTGGCCCAGAAGATTGCCACCCCTGCCGATAAGAGTAAGATAATAAACAAATGCACCCTGCATTTGCTTTGATTGCTTGATTTCATTTGTTACTGTCCGCTTCAGTTAATCTGTACCATGTTGTTATTACTCTTTACCAGTTTCATTTAAGAGGGGACACAAGATCATGGGCATTGTAGAAATGAATGAGTAATCTATGGTTTGTGGTTCAAAAGAGAACTGAAGGAGTAGTTTGAACTTTGAAGATCACCGGTTGCTTTAAGTTCCTCTTGCGTATTTTATTTTTGAATCAAGCCTAGTGACTCACTTAAGTCAAAGTATTATGGATCTTACTTAGACCCTGAGTTTTTAGAACATGGGAGGGACCCTTATTCCTTGCTCCACAGAAGACTTTGATAAAACAAAGATGCAAAGTCAGACAACCGAAAAGGGAAAGGAAAACAATGAACAACGACATAGTATTAGTGATCAGCCAACATTTTGCAGGATAACATGCCTTGCCGAACATGAACTGCATTTTCACAGGGCACGCATCCCAAGCCGCCATGGTAAATACGCTGGAAGTACCAGCGTATCGCGTATATACCGCGGAGGAGCTCCAAGAAGCCACGGACAACTTTGCATCCTCCAACTTGATCAAGAAGAGCCCCCTTGCACAGGTATGCCATGCATCAATGCAGCCCTTTTCAGCCATAATGGTTGAGCTTTTGTTACTTCAGTCCTGCAATTCAGAGGTTCAACATATACTGCAGATGGCCTGATCATAGCCATGCACATATTTTGTTGTTGAAATATTGCATGTTAAACATGCATGTTCAGCTCTGCTAGGTGTTCAGATGGGATCTTGTCAAATGGTCCACTCAAGCATCTCCATTCATAGTAGAGTACAATAGTGGTCTGCCAATTATTGTCCTTATGTAATTATTATTATGGTAGCCGCATTTGGTTCACGTCTTATACACCTGATAAATAAAGAAAAAAATTCTCTGTATTATTGGGGCTTGACAGCCTGGCAAAATGTACCCTGCAAAAAAAAACTGGCAAAATGTGGACTTCCATACCCCTAATTACTTCACACATGGAGAAATTGCTTTCATTTTTCACTAACAGTGATGGTACATGATTAGATTATTCAAATCTCAATTGCTTTCATACCCCTTATTATTGCACATATTCGAAGTACACACGGGCGTGTTAGGCAGAACAACACACTAGGTGAGGATGGTAGCGGCTCCAATTTTTTCCTACCATGTGCACGAAGTCGCAATACACACTCGTATTTGTACACATGGTAGGAAAAAATTAAGATTTGTGCACATGGTAGTATGAGTGTCATCTGTGTGGGTTCTGCTCATCTACCATGTACTATACTTCAGAAAAAGGATAATTCAAATCCTAGCAATTTGAGTCTTTATAATTATGACTAACAAAATTGTTCCCTTGATATTTAGTGGACTCTTTTGGTCTACAATTGAATTGAGACACAAACAACAGTTCATTTTATTATGTATTTATATTATACTACATTGCATCAGTTTATCGTGCATCGTCAGTCTTTTTTTAATCAGGTGGAGTTGAACTCTGTTTTCATCAATTCACCAGCTCTCTCTCTAGCAATTGTGAACCATGGTTCTGTTTTCAGTATAGTTTTCTTCCAGAAAGTTTGTCAAGACTAATTTTATCATTTGTTTCTGCCCCATTCTCCTTCCCACTTACAGCATTACAACGGTCAGCTTCAAGATGGCACAAGAGTTTTGGTGAAATGTCTCAGACTAAAGCCAAAGTATTCTGCTCAGAGCCTGTCCCATTACATGGAGATAATTTCTAAGTTCCGCCACCGCCACTTGGTTAGCATCATTGGCCATTGCATTGTCAATGACCAGGAAAATCCTACTGTTGCTAGCTCGGTATACCTCGTTTCTGAATGCGTAACAAATGGATCTCTAAGAAGCCACCTTACCGGTAAGTATAGCTGGAGGCATCACATGTACCATTACCACCTATAACCAAATAGTTGCAGGTATCTGACTTAACCCTTTGATTTGCTTCACAGAGTGGAGGAAGCGCGAAATGCTGAAATGGCCGCAGCGGGTTACTGCTGCCATTGGTATCGCGAGAGGGATCCAGTTCTTGCACAATGTGACTGCCCCAGAAATTGTACAGAATGATCTCAACATTGAAACTATTCTGCTGGACAAGACCCTCACGTCGAAAATTAGTGACTTCAGTCTCCCCATGATATCAACCAGCAAGAATGGCAAGGTACTTCCAGAATATTGGTCAAGTTTTTATTTATTTAGATTATTGGTGAAGTCCCTCACTTGCCTAACGGACAGATATGTTGTAACCGTTCTTATCTTGCAGCTATTCTCTGAAAACCCTTTCGCTGTCGACGGGGAAAACGACCATGGCAGGTACAGTGTTCTTGCAGAAAGAAAGTGACATCCGCACTTAATAAACTGGAACTAGGGCAGAGCTACTAGTTATCTGAACAGAGAACAGACATGAACCCAATGATTAGTTGTTGGAACTCAAAGGATACGAACCTAACCTATAAGACTGAATGCGGATTTGATTAGGCCGCTCAACCTGTGACCTAAAATGATTATGGTTCTGTCTGCCTGCAGCGCTCAACCTGCAGAACATGGGGACAGGGATGACATATACCAGTTCGGCCAAATCCTTCTCGAGGTGATCACAGGCAAACCAACGGCGTCGCAAAGCGAGCTGGAATCCCTCAGAGCTCAGGTGACTCTCAGTTCTCAAGCTTCATGTTCACATCACACTGAAAGATACTATCACCAAAAGCTTAGAGCTTCATACTTCTGAAGAAATTGTTACATAATGATTCTGAATTTGCGTCCCGTGTTGTCAATCCGTGTAGCTGAGCGAGGCCCTGGCCGAAGACCCGGACATGCTGAAAGACATGGCCGACCCGACGGTCCGCGGCACGTTCGCGGTGGACTCCCTGAGCAAGGTGACTGAGGTGGCCCTCAACTGCACGGCCGGTGACCCGAGCGAGCGGCCTTCCGTCGACGACGTGCTCTGGAACCTGCAGTACTCCATGCAGGTGCAGGACGGGTGGGCGAGCAGCGAGAGCTTGAGCTTGAGCGTCAAATCACAGGCGCAGTGAGTGCAATGCAGTGCTCTTTTGTAGCGGCGCACCTTTGTGGCCTGGCCTTTTGCTGTGGAAGGGAGAAGCAAATGTTACTTGTCCCCCGTATATAGAAGTGTGTTACTGTTTTACTGTTGTTGTTGTTGTTGCCGTAAACTTCATCACTATTAAGTTGAAATCATTAGATCACTAGCTTTTTTATGTTTTTGTTTTTTAAAAGATCACTAGCTTATTTGTTGTTGTTTGTTGTATAAACACCAGGACTATCATGTTGAAACCATTAGATCACTAGCTTGTGCTGCCATTTGTCTATCTACCGATCATCTATATTATTGTACATTATTAAGTCTAAACGATTAAAAGTGCAGCTGTATTATTTAGTGTATATTATTAGCTATTTATAAGCTCTCGTGTTTCGGTTACCGTGGGATCATTCCCCCTTAATCCATATGTGAGGCGGATATAAGGAGGCTTGGACTCGTCCTCCTCATTCCCCCTTAATCCATATGTGAGGCGGATATAAGGAGGCTTGGACTCGTCCGCCAAATCAAAATGACGGGAAGGGCCCTTGCCAAAGCCAAAGCCCATCGGTCCGCCGGGTGCCTCAGGTCGATGAGAAAGCATTCATGGAGTTGGAGTGAAATCCATAAAACCACCACAAAAGCAGTGTTATTAGTGAAAAATCACCACTTTACAAACCATGGCAAAATTCACCGCGCCAAAAAAAATTGAAAGTGGCAAAAAAACGATGAACAATTTTTAGATCTCCTTGTGACGTGGCTAACCGTTTGCGGGGTGACGGCACGCGTAACGGCAGCTAACGACTAGTCTGGCCGGCTCGGTCAAAACAACAGCCAACCCAGCTCATTCACTCACGTCAACTCCACCGCGCGACCCTATCCTGTTCGTCCCTGTTCGTTTGGGGTAAAATGGACAAACGAGACGGCCCGGCGCACGGGCGCAAACGGACTTTTGTCCGCTTTGTGTCCGCTTTCGACCCATCCTTGGCCCAAGTTTGCGCCGGTTTTGGGGTGAAACGGACAGCGCGCGGACGGACGGGACGCGCGCGCTTGTCCTCCCCTGACCCGCCTGTCGGTGGGAGAAACCAAACCCCCCACGCCCATTTGGCGCCATTTCCCCCAAACCCTCCCACATCCCTCCCACCGCCCCCTCTCTCCCCCGTCCATGGCCGATGCCCCGCCGAGTTCCGGCGGCCTGGCCGTCGACCCGCCCGCAAAGGTGAAGAAGAAGGCGCCAAGGAAGCCGCGGTCGGAGTGCACGCCGGAGGAGATCGCCAAGTTGGACGCGGAATCGGCGAAGAGGAGGGAACGGAGAGCGGTCGTCAAGGTCAATGCCGCCGTGGCCAAGTTCGCCGCCCAACGCGATGAGCTGGAGGCCGCGCGGCGCAAGGCCGCGGCCGACGAGAAGGAGGACCTCGTCAACAAAGCGCACGCCATCCTCATGCTTGGCATGGGCCGTCCGGCCGGGTTCCCTGCAGCGGCCGTCGGCCCGGCGAGCACAGGCTCGTCGGTCGCCCGGCCTACGCACTGCCAGTCGCCGACCTCGCGCACCGCGCCCATGTCGCCCGGCTTTCCTCCGCCAAGGCACGACGGCCAGACCCGTTTCTCGGGGTCGTTAGACGTGGGCTTGTTCGCGCCGTCGACACCGCGCCCCGCGGCCGTCATCGACCTCAACGTCATGCCTGGGTCCAGCAGCGGCGGCCGGCCAGCCGCCGAGATGCAAAGAAAGTAGGCACGGGCACCGTTCACGGCCACCATGCCGGCCCCCCGCGTCTTGTTTGACGGAATGCCAACCCCAACGCCAACGGTCGACGACCCCTTCTACAACCAGTACATGGAGGACGTGATCTTCGAGGGTGGGCATGGCCGTGCCTACGACCCCGAGGAGACCCAAAGTCAGGATGGTCGTGCCCAGTACGTGCCCGATGAAGAGGCCGACGACCGTGCTGACTACGACCATGGTGACTCGTGACATGAAGATGATGACATCTATGTCAAAGGTGATGGTGATGAAGAAGAAGGCAATGGCGAGCCATTGTTCATCGACGAGCTCACCCAAAGAGCGGAAGCACAAAAGAAGAGGAAGAGCATTCGCACGGGTTCATACACACAAGATAAAGACAAGTTGATTTGCCAAGCTTGGATGGAGATTAGCCAAGATCCGAGGACCGGCGCGCAACAAAAGGGCATTGTTTTTTGGACGAGAGTCCACAAAACATTCAATGAAAGGAAGATGTTCGAGCCCTACCAAATTACAAGCAACCGTGGCATCGGCTCGATTCAAAAGAGATGGTTGTTCATCCAATAAGAGTGCAACAAGTATCAAGCCGCATTTGAGAGCGTTCAAGCACGACCCGTGAGTGGTCTCGGCGTTGGGGACACTGTATGCTCTCCTCTTCCTAGCCCTTTCCTTACTACGGCCATGAGACTTCGGCCTTGTATATGTTTGCATGTTCACTTCTTTTTGATCATGTGTTGTAGGTATTTCAATCTTTGAAGGCATTCAAGGCCCGGCACAATGACAAGTCATTCACTCTTACGCATTGTTGGACGCTCATCAACAATTGCCCTAAGTTCAAGGGCCAATACCGTGAACTACAAAGGAAGAGAGGACTGAAGACGGCCAAGTTCGCCGGAGGTAGAGATGGCGAGGCGTTGAAGAGGCCGAGGGGCAAGACCAACTCCAAGGTTGATGACATACGTGATGCCTCATCCATGGCATTGCATGACACTTTGCATGGCATGATGTCTCAAAAGGATGTGAGGAACAAGAAGAAACGGCAAAGCAAGGACGAGCAAATGAAGCAATACCTAGACCTTCAAAGAAAGAAGCTTGAGATGGAGGAGGCGACCAAGAAGAGGAAGATCGACATGGAGGAGGCGGCCCGGCAAAGGCAGCTCGACATGGAAGAGGCCACCCGGCAAAGGCATCTCGACATCGAGGCCGACAACGTCAAGGCCAGGCAGAGGCAGCTCGACATCGAGGCCACCAATGCCGCCACCAAAGCGAAGGAGGTGGCCCTTACGATCATGAGCGTGGACCTGTCGAAAATGAGCGACAAGACGAGGGCCTGGTTCGAGGCCAGGCAAAAGGAGATGCTCGACGCCGAAGGCCTGAACTAGGTCGTCCGATCGGCGTGGTCGTTCTTTTTGGAGGCTGGCATGGGTGTCGCTCGCCCGCTGGGCCGCTGACAGTGTGCCGGCGAGAAAACATTCATTTTGGAGGCCGACTGTGTTGCCGGCCGCTGGCTGTGTTGCCGGCGAGGACAACTATTCATTTTGGAGGCTGGCTGTGTTGCCGGCCGCTGGCGATGGACGTGTAGGCCGCTGGCTTTGTTGCCGGCGTGATGAACTGGGGCCGTGAACTAGGGCTTGACATTTGAAACGTTGCTCTTTTTTTTAAATAGACGCGGACAGGACGAGGCAAACGGATGCGGCCGCGCACTGGGCGCACGGCCACCGCATCTCAGCACACGCCCGGACACGACCCCAAATCTCTACTCAAACGGACAGAATTCGGAAAAAACGGACGTCCGTTTGAGGTCGCGTGGTAAAGTTGGCCTCACACTCCTCTCTCGCTGCTCCTTCACTCTCGCGCCCTCTCACCTCTGCGCCACCGCCAACGCCGCTTACCCTCGCCGTCGACACACAATGCCTTCTTGAAAAGACAAGGACGAGATAGCGAGAGAATCTTGTAGGTGCTGACTAGTTAGTAGTTAACTGAATTTACTTTTTTTACTAAATCTTCTAGGTGTTTAGCAGTTAACTAGTTAACTAACTTTCACTTTTAACCGAATCTTGTAGTGCTGACTAGCTAACTCGTTAACTAAATTTTAGTTTTAACGGAATCTTGTAGGTGTTCAGTGACTTTTGGTTTTAACTGAATCTTGCAGGTGTTCACTAGCTAACTAGTTAACTGACTTTTTGGTTTTAACTGAATCTTGCAGAACCCCACAAAAAAAAACTGAATCTTGCAGGTGTTCACTAGCTAACTAGTTAACTGACTTTTGGTTTTAACCAAATCTTGTAGGTGTTCACTAGTTAACTCACTTTTGTTTTTTATCAAAACTTGTAGGTGTTCACTATTCAACTAGTAAATTGACCTTTTGTTTTAACTGAACCTTATAGGTGTTCACTAGTTAGCTATTTAACTGATTTTTTTAGTCAAATCTTGTAGGTGTTCACTAGTTAACTAGTTAATCAAACTTTTGTTTTAATTGAGTTTAGTTTAACTAGTGAACTGAATTTATGTGCTTGACAAAATTTTGAACATGTTTCATGAGCAAAACTATGAAAGGGTGATGGATAGACAGACTTATGACAAAGAGATTGCCAAGCATAAGAAGCAGAATGATGTGAGCTCGAGCTCATAAGAAGCAGATTGACATGTTTCATGGGCAATTGCCAGTGCATAGAGTTTGTGAGCTCGAGCTCACGTGCACCCTTTGCTACATTAAATTTCAAAATACATAAAGAAAATTTAAAAATGATTTGTTCGTTCATTCACTTCGATCCGTAAGTAGTTCATATTAAAATATTCAAAACATTTTGTATTTGTAAATGAAGGGAGTACTTGAGTTCGACATCGTTTGTGCTCAGATTCTTTTGCATGGTTCATAAAAAACATATGCATGCATGGTTTAGATTCAACTATACTCCTTGTGTGCTTCAGTTTGGGTAGTTCTGTAAAGCACCAGATACATTCCTTCACTCACCATGTGTCTTGGTTGATGAGATTTCAGATTTGAACTCTATAAACCGGAAAGGAGGGGTATGTCCTCTTGCTGCGAAGTAAGCATAGTTTAGATGGTTAGATTCTTTGTTGCGCATGCATATTTTCAGGATTTTTTTTCAGATTCTATGGCACTACTCTTTTTGTGGTGTACGGTGTGCCCGTCGATTATGAGGCGCTCTTTTACAAAAAAGGACTATACGCGTCATCTTCCTTGTTAGACCAACTAAAACATGTAAGAACATGGTGATAAATTAACTTCTTCAGACTGACAGTTAGAACTGCGTTTACCTTTTTTTCCAGCTAGGAACGCGCTTACTTGGACAGATAGATATCCCCTTCATTTATTTATTCGGGATCATCTCATCACCAACACTAGTAGCTATTCAAATCCAGACCTAGAAATTAGGAAAGTGGACGAGTCAAATATGACATGCCTGGTTCAGGTTCAACTGTATAATCTTTATAAGCTTGTTAGACCAGCTAGAAACTTCTACATCCAACAATTATGAATAAGATTAAGAACACTAACGACTTTTGAGACAGAGACACATACATTTGGCCGGTGTGCTTACTTAGCTACAAATCTCTAATAATCAGCACTACAGATGTAGTACCAGATAATCGGTAGCAAAAGCCCCGTGAAGAGCTACAAAAGTCCATAGACCGCCTAATTGACACCAACGACTAAAATCTTCTTGTGCTTCGGGCCCCCATAGTAGCAACAAAGAGTGTGCTAAACTATTGGCAGGGGTAGAAACTGTTGCGGTTAAGAAATTACAACCTTCCAAATAGAAACTAGCCAATCCATGGGTATACCAAGAAGTTATAAAAGTTGTCTCTGTAAACCAACCCCCTAAAGCGAAATAAGCACAAGGAAAGAGCAATAGGCCAGACCATCCTATCCACAACTACCATTTGGGCGAGTCAAAGTTGACATATATATGCATGGTTCAGGTTCAACTATATGTTGTTTTGCTTGTTAGACCAGCTAAAACAGATAAAACATGATGATAAAACATGATTAACTTCTTCAGGCAGACTGTTAAGAGCGCGCTTACTTTTCATTTCCCGGTAGGAACACGCTTACTAGGATAGATACATACACTGTCTTCATGTTCTAATATTCATATTTTTGTTTCCACAAAGACTTAGACACATACACTTGTCTATACTCTTGGTTCGGCGTGCTTACTTGGCTATAAATAACTTCTCTCTGTTTTAACATCTCCTGTTTCATTACCGCAAGGAACTCCAAATTTCCGATCATCATATCTAAACACGAGAAGCCGAGCGCCTGGGGACGAAAACCATGACTATTCTCTCCAAGGATGCACCTGCGGAGATCTCCCACCCCGCCCACCCGGAGCACAAGCTGAAGCTGACGGCCGCCGGCGCGGCGGAGTTCCAGTGCGACGTCTGCAAGGAGCTAGGCGCCGGGGACCGGTACACGTGCCGGCCCTGTGACTTCGACCTCCACAGCGACTGCGCCCTCGCAGAGGCCACGCTGGCGCACCCATTGCTCAAGGGCAGAGAGCTCCAGCTCCGCTACGGCGACGACGGCGGCAGGACATGTGGCGCCTGCGGCGGGAAGGTACTCGGGCTGCACTACCACTGCGCCGCCAAGATGGGCATGGACCTCCACCCGTGCTGCGCGGCGCTGCCGCTGGCGATCCCCCAGGAGGAGCTCACGCTCGAGCTCCGGAAGGAGGCGTCTCACCGGTGCAGCAGCTGCCGGGAGAGAGGCAGGGGCAGGACCTGGTTCTACCGCTCCACCTGCAAGACCGTGTACCTGCACGTCGCCTGCGTCAGAGAGATCGCTCGCCGGAGCCGTGCCGCCGGCGACGGCTCGAGCACCGATCCGTTCGCTTCCGTCAAGGACGCGGCGCTGCAGATCTACCGCGCAAAGAGGGACGAGAGTGAGTTGGAGCGCGTCATTCTCGAGCTGGTTCTTGGAGGTTGATGCCGCAAAGCTTTTCTCCCAAAGGAAGATTTGCAGGTTGATTACACAATTTGCTAATGAGCCAACGGGACTATTCCGTAGTATGTACTGCCTAAACCGCGTGTGTATTTTATGGACTTTTACGATTATTTCACAGGTCTTAGATTTTCTTTCTTCCATGTAAGAAGAACATTGTCACGTACGTGTAAATATATAGCAAAAAGTCTATGGTATAGAGTTCCAAGAGATGCGTATTGCCGATGTACATTGACTATTCGCTGCTACGTTGAGACTCTGGGGCCTGCCTGAGCAGCAAAATTTGAAGATCACTAGACCACTAGACCAACGTACAACATAAAGCGGGGATAGCTCAGTTGGGAGAGCGTCAGACTGAAGATCTGAAGGTCGCGTGTTCGATCCACGCTCACCGCACAATATTCTTTTTTTACCTCCGTAATCTCGGTATTGTTGAAGACAAAGGTGGTTTACATCACAAGTTGTCAAAGTAAATATCACTTGTTTCGATCCGTGCTCACATGTTGCTTCTGCTA